ATTGTTATTTGATTGTTCTCTTTAATTTTTACTTACGGCCAGTGCTCTCTTGACAATTGGATTTTTTATTTTTATTTTTTTCTTTCTTGAAAATTAGATTCTACTATTTAAAATTTGATTGTAATAAATTATATTTTGGAATAAATTATTTCGATATCTTGATTTTCATAATGATTTTATCTTATTAATAAGTAATAAATTGTCTCATTGCAAAAACATTCTGGCTCCCACTCATCCATTGTTAAGTTCCCCATCAAATGTCACTAGGCTCAATATAAACCATCAGTGAAACGAAGAAATTTATACTGAATAATTCAACTTGATCAGATTCAAAAAAAAAAAAAAAAAATTTCATCAACATCGACAAACTTTCATCAATATTCGTGATATTTACAAATATCTTGTTTGATCATTGGATGCTATGATTGATCATAAAAAAGATATAAGTTGACAATTAAATATAGAGAGAATTATATTCAGATCTTTTGAAACTTAATTACTCAGACCTCTGACATTTAAAATATTATACATAGACTCCCTAAAATTTGTACACCCGTAACACTTAGACTCTTACCGTCAAATGTCCATTTGTATATTCGTTAGTATATTACACCCAGACTCCTAAAGTTTGTAGACGTATAATATTTAGATCCCTTAAATACTTTAATCAAATAAAAAATATCGAATATTTTAAATTTTAAAACAAAAATTCATGTTCTATTATATCATTTATTGAAATAAAATCAAAAATAAAACATAATTTTTTTTTAAAAAAATCATAATTAATATACAATTATATTATCTATTATAATAAAAGTAAAAAAATTAAATAAGGGATCTAAGTCATTCATAATAGAACATTAATTTTACAACCAAATTTATGTTATATTATGTCATTTATTGAAATAAAATTAAAAATTAAATTTTAACTTTTCTTAAAAAGTCATAATTAGTATACAATTATATTATCTATTGGAATAAAACTAAAAATAAAGTAATTAGTCAAACTATAATGAACACAATATATTCTAACTTTAATTGGTGTAATTTAGTACTTTAATTTGGTCGTCAAATTAAATTTCAATAGATGGTATAATTGTATACTAATTATGATTTTGTAAGAAAAAAATTAGATTTTACTTTTAATTTTATTTCAATAAATGTTATAATAGAATATGAATTTTGATTGTAAAATTTAAAATATTTGATATTCTGTCTTTGATTGGAACATTTTTTATTTAAATATAACATTTTAAACTTGAAGGGTCTAAGTATTACGCGTCTATAAACTTCAAGAGATCTGAATGTAATTTACTAATCGATGTACTAACGGACATTGACGGTAAGAGTTTAAATGTTATACGCGTCTAAATCTCAGGGGTCTGTGTATAATATTTCCAAATGTCAAGGGCCGAGTGATTAAGTGACAAATCTCAGAGAGTTTAATTATAATTCTCCCTTAAATTTATGTTTTTCTTGGTCGATTGTAATATTTTGTTATGGGTAATAATTTTTTAAACTTTAACTTATATTTTAAAATTTTAATTTGTCTGTTTTAGTAGCTTATTGGATGCCTATGATATTGAGGGCTACAACAACCACACCTTAGTAGCTTATTGGATGCCTATGATATTGAGGGCTACAACAACCACACCAAAGCAGAGGCCACATGACCATCTGGCCCCGTTAGATGATTTGAATTGACAGCTCATCGCAATGAAATGGATATCACCTTTCTTCATAATCTCATTTGTACATTCTCCGGAGAATTCAGTAGGGTGAGCATTTATACACTACAGCCTGCGTTCGCTGTGCTGGGTGCAGTGGCCAGCTGCCTACACAATGAAATGAAGTAAATGTTTCTCACTCATTGTTTTGGGTTTGAAGGAGGAATCGTAGCAACCTGGTATTAAGGTTGTGTTAGGAATGATTTATAAAATTTTAAAAATATTTCTTAAATAAGTATTTTATCAAAAAGTATTTTCACTAAATAAATACCGTTTGAAAGTTAAAATAAAAAATACTTTATCAAAAGTGTGTGACGACAATGATGGTGGTGGATGGTGGCAAAGACGGCAATGGTAGTTGTGGGGGGAGGGGGAGTGGCAACGACAATAGTGTGTAGTGGTGGTGGTGGGGTGGCGGTAGATGTGGCGGCGACACTGACAACGGTGGTGGGTGGTGAAATATTTTATGAAGAAGATGAAATGATGATTCACCGTTACATGGAGGTGGTTGTGGCGGGGTGACGGTGGTGGTGGTAGTAGGGTTGATAGCGACAATGGTAGGTGGTGGTGAAAGCAATGAAAAATCCCTTATACGGGGAATACTAGTTTAGATTGATTACTCTTTTGAATTTAAATACCTTTTATATATTTAATTTCACTTAATGTATGCAAAAAATTGAATGGTTTGACATTTAATAATTTAATGAGAAATATAATCACATGGATTAGTGGTGCTCTTATAAACAAAATCCCTTACTTGGATAAGTCTAATGACCAAAGAAAAAACAAGTGAAATTCTCATAACGTCGGAGAACAAATATGACTTGTATCAAAAACAGTGAATTGATATTTGGTATTGTACGAAAATTTTTTTTTCAATGATTTCGTGAATAACTACGCTTAATAAAATTTGTGATTCTAACTCTTTTCCTCGACCGCGGAACACAAACTTGGTAGGTATGAATATCATCCTATCCAACATCTTATTCCGTCATGGATGGTAGTTGTTTCATTTACTTCTACACTTCAATGAGACCTGATCATTTCTGTGTTTCTTTACGGCATTACCAACTCTCTCTCTCTCTCTCTGTCTCACTTATTTTGAAAGAAACAGCACCATGGTTCCATTTTTTTGTGGTTTCCAAGTGTATTTTTTTGGTACATACATTGATGTCAGAACATTATAAATGTTTTGACCTGCCCAATTGATGTCAAAACAAAATAATTCTGAAAAATAACAAAGGGCAGGCCTTGTTGGTCGGATAATGATCAATACTATGTGCACCAAATTACTCGTAGCAGATGGATTAATAGGTTTTATCAGTGATCCAACGATTATAGTTAATTTAATATAAATTTTGATACACAAATTTAGTATACATAAAATTATCCCGGGAGTGGTTAATCAAGACCTGTGGCTATATATGCAGAGCATTTAAGTACACATATTAATGTCATTCAATGGTTAAAAATAATTCTCTCTTTAGATAGCATTGGGCTATTTCCATTCTTGGTAAATACAGGTTTGAGATTATTCACCAAAACTTTTAGAAATTAGACAAGAAAATACTACTTTAGAAAGGTAAAATCACACATCTCCGCCTTTAGATAGTTAGATTCACATCTCCTTGTGCATAAGAAAATATCATACTCGGTAGATAAGGTTGAAGGTTATGTACTTCATACATGATACAATGATACACGTAGTTAAGATTTATGTAATAATCGGGAGATTGGTTATAGAAAGGTTATGTCTTACCATAGCTAATGCTTTGATTTAATGTATAAACTCAAACTCCATCTTCACTGGATTATGGACCTGCCAATTGATTAGCTATATTAAATATTTTTAATGGTTCACCTTCAGGTTTATTAGGANGAATTATGGACCTGCCAATTGATTAGTTATATTAAATCTTTTTAATGGTTCACCTTCAGGTTTATTAGGATTATTTGGTTGTTACAAGGTGCATAGATCTTCCCACTAACTTAACAGTTGCGGTGATATGGTTCAACCTACGCATCAAACCTACCGGTTAACTTTCTATTGACAAATGAGTTAATTGATGTAAGGTGACATTTTTATAATCTCAAGCAATAGAATATATGTTGGATCCCCGAACAAAAGAGTAGTATTTTTCAATTGTTGTAATCAAAAGTTTTATTTAAATATTTACTTATCAATTCTAAGTTCACATCACAAGTTGTAATGCACATTACGCACACGACAATCTTACTTTTTTATTTTTATTTTGAGTTCCAACAGATAACTCTCTGTAAATTCGACTTCAGACTTAACTGAGTAATATTACAATTTAATCTCTTATACTTAGGTGTGTGATTAAGATTAAGACAGATAGTTGCCGAATTTCTTTGAGTTGTAGGAGCATTATCTTCTCGGCTAGGTAAATTAGTTCCTTACATGTTTCTCTTGTGCATACACCTGAGGGAGTACATGATCATGTTCTGAATTTGTTCTATTTCAAAATTAACCCTTACGCCAGTATATACCTTGGAAAGACTTGGGACATGTTTTAAGTTATGATGTATATAAAATCAGAATTTACAAGAAGAACCATTTTTTACCAGTAAACAAAAACCTATTATTAATTAGAAGAATAATGCTATTTAGACCTAAAAATTTGAACTAATTTATTGATTTAATGAGGTGACTTCTTTTTAATAATTAGATTAACATCAAATTTCAAATGTTTAGCGAGTCTCACGGTCAATCCAATCACGATAGTGAATTAGATCAACAGATTAAGTCAATAAATTAAATTACAATAACAGCATGACTCTTATTATAATGTCCATCTGTATTGGTTCCTTATTTGTAGACAAACTGCGGATTGATTATCACAAAAAAAAAAAAAAAAAAAAAAACAACAACAAGTCATTCACTTAATTAGAGTATCTCCGACAATTACTTAAATTTAAATTTAAATAAAAAAAGATTAAAAAACCTACTTCAACTTTTGACTCAAACATATACCAAATCAAGGAATGACAGTTTTTTTCACTCAAATCTTTAATTGTGGGATTTCAATTTTTTTCTAAGATTCAATGGTCATCTTTACTCTCTTTTAAATTTGAGTTTATCCATTGGAGCCCTTTATATTAAATCAAACTTCTAAATTAAATGTTAATTTAATTTTGACAAAAAATTTGAGTCATAGTTAGAGATGTTTCTAATTGATATGAATATTTGTAAGAGCAATGTTATTGAGACCTAATTTACTGACATAATTTCCTAACCTAATTCACTATAATCTTTGAATTGACTGTAGGACCCATCAAATATTAAAATTTAGCGTTGATCCAATGGTTCTATCGAAGCTACATCATTATATCAATAAATTAAATCAAATTTTTAGGTCCAGATAATATTACACGGACAGTTGGAACACACACTAATCTTATTTGATAACTGACAAAACATAAAGTTTATCCAAATTTATAATCTGTAACATCATAGGAAACTAGAACATAAAATTCCAAACCTAAAATAGTCACACAACACAGAAATGCACCATAACTGAACACGACAAGATACTGGGAGTAACTTGGAATTTTTCTCAGGCTCTAGGCTTGAGTCGACCCTCGTTTGCCAGCTTGAAGAGATGTGCCTGAGCTGCTGCCGCCTTGTTCGAGCCGAGTGCTCGGACGAAACTGTCCCTGACTTGGGTGGTTGTGTATGGGAACCTCCTGTTCACCATGGAGTTCAGCAAAGAAGCTGTGCCTTCTCGGTACAGAGCCCCGAGGCCGTCGGTATTAGAGTTTGAAAGTGCTTCCTGCAAGCTCATGCTCGCCCCGGTCCCTGGAAGGCTAGGCGTGCCGAATGCGCCACCGAGTGTTCCCGCCCAGCCAAACAGACCCCATATGAGTCCTGGGTTAGTGCTCCAGAAACTGCAAGTACAATCGTGAAATGTTTTAGTATTGTTGCATCTGGTAAATTACAAATTAGAGATTTGGTAACGTTTTTTTTTTTAATATATATATATATATATATATATATCAACTATGGTTTTAGTTAATCCCTCGGGATGCTATTATTGACTTACTTGCAAGTACCAGTAAAGGGCGAGTTAGGATCAAATGGAGGCGATGGTGTTGAAATTCCGGGAATGGTCGGGGTGCCCGGACTGCTTGGGGTGACTGGGTAGATAGGAGTGGTTGGTGGAGTGATGGATGGTATTGAAGGTGCCGTTGGAGTGCTGCCGCCGGAGGTTGGAGGAGAGTTATAGTATCCACCACCCGGAGTGCTTGGGGTGCCGGGGTCGATAGGAGTGGTTGGTGGACTTATGGTGACTGGTGGAGTAATGGTTGGTGGACTTATGATGGTTGGTGGAGTAATGGATGGTATTGAAGGTGTCGTTGGAGTGCTCGGAGTTGGATCATAATGTCCTCCACTTGGGGGGTTTTCACAGTTAGCCGGTGGACTGCTTCCATAGCTGCCACTGCCTCCATGTGAGGGGGTTCCATGAATGGGTGGTGTGCCTCCGTAGCTACCTCCTGAACCATGTGGTGGACTTCTGTGTGAACCTGCATGCAAACGGTATAAGAAACTAACCATTGTGGCAGGTGACATGGTTCTAAAACAAGAGGCCTTATTTTTTTTTTTTGGGTCAGCTAAAAAAATAAAATAAATGGTTCCACGGTTACAATTATAACAAATATTTTTAGACTTGTCAACTTTTTTGTGTTTTTGGGGGGAGGGCAGGGGGATTCCTAGTGTTACAAAGCCATAATTTAGGTTGAGATTCCTAGTGTTACAAAGCTATATTAATGTTGAGATTCTAACCAAAGTAACGTTGGTAGCAAAGCGACATTTAATAGGAGCACATTTTCTTCATAAATATAGTCAATGAAATCATTACTAGGAACTAAAAGAGACGCATGATATTTGAAAACTTTCAAGAATAAGTAGCCAAAAAGAGCATAAAATAAAAGACCAGAGAGAGAGAGACCTCTATGGTGACTTCCTGCATGCGGGTCTGGAGAGTAGTAGGTCTTTTGATCTTCAACACTTGCAGTAGACATGACAGAAATCAGCAAGTTCTGAGAAAGGAATGCAGCAACCAAAGCCCACATTAGAAGAGAAGCCTGATTGCTTTTCTCTCTCTCCATATCTGTCTGCTTTCAAGTACCCAACAAGAAAAAAAAATAAAGGAAGAAGAAGACTGAGAGATGAGACTGCTTGAAAGAGAGAGATGCATATAAAGAGTGAACAGAGAGTGAAGTAAATGTAAGCAGGTGAAGGAGTCTGTGGTTAGTTGACGTTGTTGCAGGTCATTTATAATATCATTGATTGCCTATATTTTTCAAATCTCGAGATAGTCCTTTCACTGGGACAAAGAAACGTCTTTAACATTGTCTTTGTCATAACAAATTGAAATCTAATTTTGATAACTTAGTTTTATATGGAAGGATTTTAACTCATATAGACTTGTGTAACATTGTGTTTGCCCTATCATCTCTCTCTCTATCTCTCACATACACACACAACAGGGGCACATATAACACAAAAGAAATGGTGCATATATTGCTGATGGGTGTACTGCAAATGTGCCATGTGAGGTGATAGACACTCCATTCACCGTGTATAAGTAAACAATAAAAATGATGGGCAAAAACCAGATTTAGAATGGGAGATTGGGAGATCAAATAGTCATGTGACCATAGTAGAAAACGACAATTTTTGATGGCAAATTTGAACATACAAGAACCTGCATTGTGGAGTTGAACTATGTCGGCAGACCTTGTTCTCAAGTAAAGAGGTAGGTATACACATATCATTCTATATCTCCATAACAAATGCACTCGAAAAGTCGATACCTTTAACAGAAAAACAAAGATTTTATGTATTGAACCTCCATTACTTCAAGCATTCAAAACCATGTAGAAGGAATCATACTTTATCCTTTTTATATTGGTTTATACGTCGTATCTACAACGGGTTTTGTAACCAACTAAACCTCATATACATCAGATTTGTTATTGTTTGGTCTATTTTCGGTTTGTGGGCGTGCCAAAGTTCAATTGAACTTAACACGTACGATCTCACTTATTCGAACCAGTGTGAGGTTCTAAAATTATAACTGTTTAGGCATAATATTACCTCTGAGTTCTTTTATATGTCTTAGGGTTCAAAAACTTTAAATAATTTTCCAACTAACAGTCTAATGGATTGAAATGTAAAAAAGACAATTGGAATGCAAAGCAGCAAGTTGACTAAGTTTGAAAAATGAAACAAGTACTAAACTTAGTATTAAATGAAAGCAATAAAAGATCATTGGAGTGATGAGTAACATGAAAAATAAAGTTGTTCAAAAGCAAAAATAAGTATAAGGTAGGTTGACTCTATATAAAGTTTGTTGTTTTTTATCATGAATCCCTTCTTTGTGGCTTGACCTTTGTTATTTATAGGGATGACCTTCACTAGTTGAAACCATATTTTTCGATCATGACTGTAATCATGATCTTTCTCTCGAAATGTGTAAACGTGCACTGAATCATCTCCAACTAACGGCTCATGACATATCTCCTCACTTCCCAGGATTATTAGACTCCTACTTCCCTAGTTGCTCTATCAATCATGGACTCTCATAGAATCTTTCATGGCTTTTGGATCTCTTCATGTCGTGCTTGCTCCTTAAAGCGGCATCAAATTAATAAGGAATTCCTAAGCAGAGGAAGGGGTATCGTGTTTATAACTTGGTCAATTACCGATGTCGTCCCCTCATAAAAAAGGTTGGCTTAAAGGGTGATAGACAAAAGAAAATAAAAACCTTGAATTTTGAGAGTTGGTTTGGAAAAAGTATCAACTACAAATTAACAATTAAAGAAATAGAACCGGTTAATCAGTTGAGTTCATCTCATCATGAAAAAGTATTTTGACTCAAATTCTATAATTCATTTAAGATTGTACTCAAACGCACTCAAACTGTAGATAACTCAATTATAAATAACAAATGTATATTCGAATTAATTGATTCAATTTTTGAAATAATTAAACCCACTTCGATTGTAGTGATTTCAAGAATTTCCTGTGCTAAGTCTTAGTTGTCTACAAGTAAGTAAGAAGATATATATATCGATAGTGTTTCCAACTTTAATTAACCAATTAATCCAAATAACTCAATCATTGAAAAACCCCAGTTTAAGTCAAAATCTCTAATTCATGGATGAGAATCCATCATTCGATCAAACTAGAGTAGACTATCCACTACTGACGGAATGAAAATTGAAGCAATTAAAGAAAGCATGATCATAATTTAAAGCAAGAAAACTTGAATTGAAATTGCAGGGCTTGAAATTACAAGAAAGGTAAATACTTTAAATTGAATTGCTTTAATGTAAATTGTTTACAAGAAGAATCAAAAGTAAAGAGTTGTAAGAATGAAATAATTGAACTTAAACAAAGTTTCAAATGTAAAACAATGACGAAAACTTTAAAGAAGAAAAAGACTAAGTCTAAACCTAGGAAAAAAAGAAAGGGAGTTTGGTGAAGAAATTGGGGAATTGAACGAAGAAAAGGAGATGCTCTCTCAAGCGGTTAGGCTTTGGTATTTATAGAGGATTTTTTGTTGAAATTCTTCTTTTTTATCCATCAATCACGACTTTTAAATAATTCAACTAATTCAATTTTCTTAGGAGTCTTCACTGCCAAAATACAGTAACCTACCGGTAGGAAACAGAAAATGATCTACCAATAGAACTGTTCACTATTTCACACGAACTGGTTGACCTTCTCTTCTACTGGTAGAACACTTTTCTGTTTCAAACCTATCGATAGAACAGTAGTCACCTACTGATATAAAAAAAGAACTAGTTGAGCCAATAAAGTAAGAACAAAATGTGTTCTCTATCCAATATTGAAGAGCCATCATAGTTGCGATAGGCCGCAATAAAAAAGGTATAGGCAATAACCGAATTATTCTACACATCAGTTGGAAAAAGTGTAGCTCACTTAAGTATAAATAAGTAGCGTGTTAGCCTCGGCCCCAAGTGGAGGAAGGTCGAGGAGGGCAAATATGTCATAAATCGTGGGGTCCATCATGCCAAAATGAAGTGAAAGGTATTGTTCGCCATGGACCAAAACAGAAGAGCGGCGCAGAGTAGTAGTTTTTTAATGAGCAACGTGATAATGCTAACTTCTATGGCATCATAAATGTCAAGATGATATCATAGGGTACCCTTTGCTGCTTTAACACAAACAACCCAAGATATTCAATTAGGAGAAGGGGTCTTCTATGCGCAGACAAGAGTGCCACTAAGCTAGTTAGATCATTGAAGCGGCTCTTGGAGATTAAAAGGAAGAGACATATGGAGTCAGGGTAGATGCGTCAAACTTCATATGGAAGCATCTCTTTGAAAGTAGGCCCAAGCGCCATTTCTACTGAAGAAGACTTAGAGAGCGGATTGAAAGTAAGAAGAATTACATGAGTAGCTTGTACTAGTGAAAAAGTTGCTTCAAGAGCAATAATACGAAGGGCTCCATTGAAGAAGAAGAAGAAGTAAAAGTAATGACACAAAAGCAAGTCTGATTATATAGGAGCCAAGAACGAACCATTATAATGACGGATCGCGTGCCAACTATTTCTTGCAGGTTTGAAACGATTAAGGATAAACCGAAAGATTACACGTGGAAGATTAGCCACAATCCCTGAGCTTCATGGCCAATGGTGGGATGACAGCTAAACAAGACAAGTGTAGCGACAAAAGCTTAAATTCAAAGAGCCAAAATGGGCCCCCGAATATAAAGTGTTCAGGAGTAAAATGAATAGCTTGTACTCATAAAAGAGCCACTTCAAGAGCAACAGTACGAGGGAGCTCCATTGAAGAATAACTCCATTGAAGAATAAGAAGAAGAAGAAATGGTCAAAATAATGAGAAAAAGACAAGTTTGAGGATAGATTAAATATGCACAAAGAACGAACCGTTACAATGATAAAAAGATATGGATGGATCACGTGCCAACAATTTCTTGCAAATTTGAAAAGACAAAGGATAGACCGAAAGGCTACATATGGAAGATTGGCCACAATTTGTATGCTTCACGACCAATGGCGGGATGACAGCTAAGCAAGGCAAGTCTAGCGGCAAAAGCTTATATTCAAAGAGCCAAAAAGACGCCTTGAATATGTATTGTTTAGGAGTAACATAAGTAGCTTGTACTAGTAAAAGAGTCGCTTCAAGAGCAATAGTACGAGGGCGTTCCATTGAAGAAGAAGAAGAAGAAAAGTTCAAAGTAATGATAAAAAGGTTGTCTGAGAACGATTTTCAAATTCACGAAGAATGAACTGTTACAATGATGAAAAAATATGGATAGATCGTGTGTCAATTGTTTCTTGCAGATTTGAAAGGGCGAAGGATAGACCGAAATACTACATGTGAAAGATTAGCCGCAATTCCCGAGCTTCACGGCCAATGGCAGGATGAAAACTAAGCAAGACAAGTGTAACAGCAAAAACTTAAATTCAAAGAGCCAAAACGACGCCCCGAATATGAAGTGTTTAGTCGCATCGTTTTGAGGGGGACAATATTTACACCTAAAAATAACAAAATCTAAGGGTGACACATGTAAGAGATCCAACGGTCAAGAAAGAGTCTCCGAGAGTCCATACTTGATAAAGCGGTTAAAGAGGTGGAACTCTAGCAATCCCGAAAAGCGGGAAGACATGACATCATGGGCCGCCAGTTGAAGATGGCTCAGCGCACGTCTGCACACCTCAAGCGAAAGGTCATGATTACAATAATAAACAGAAAGTATGACTTCGAAGGTTGAAGGTCATCCCTATAAATAACAAAGGCAAGTCTACGGAGAGAGGATCCACGATCAAACACAACAAACTCTACACAAAACCAACCTCTCTTCTACTTGTTTTTACTTCTGAATAATTTTCTTTTTCCTGTAATCCATCACTCCGGTGATCTTTACTACTTTGATTTCATGTTAAGTATGGTACTTGTTTCATCTTCCAAACTTAGTTTATTTGTTGTTTTGCATTCCAATTTTTTTTTCTTTCTACATTCCAGTCCAATATGTTGTTAGTTAAAAAATTATTTAAAGTCCTTGAATCCGAAGGCATGGAAAAGAATCAGAGATAACCTTACACCTTGCTACAATCGCCTAAGCAATCACAATTTTTGAACCTCACATCAATTTGAATAGGTAAGATTGTACGTATTT